AACATCACAGCCTTGTAACTACAGTACTACATAGGTGGTAGGGCTGTGTAAAATTTTGGTCCCTGATTCGATTTGGCGGAGATCCAGCCCAATTCGGTGGCCTAATCTCCAAATCCGAATCGAATCAGAGGACCCTTTAATCTCTCCAAATTGAATCGGAGAGATTCAGAAAAATTTGGACATGGGCACAGCTTTAAATGTTTCTTCTACACACCTCTAGGTAACAGGCGGCTTGTGAACACTGCGATGCTGGGGTGGATGGAGCATCCCACAGGAGTGTTGGGGTCTCCCCAGCATGCTCGGCACCAGATGCAGAAGTGGACCAGAAGCACTTCCAGTTCACTTCCAGGTCTTCCAGGGAGTGTGCTGCCCCCCGCTTCCCCCCAGCTTGGGCAGACGTGGGGGCAGTGAGCTTTCCAGCAGAGATGGAACTGGATCGGAAGTACGTGGTCCGCCAAGCATGTGGACAGCCCCCCCGCACTCCTGTGGGATGCTCCATCCGCCCCAGCGTCGCAGCGTTTACGAGCCACGCTGGTACCTTGAGGTATGTAGAAAAAACATTTAAAGCTGTGAATATATCCGAATCACTGATTCTCCGGATCAGCATCGAATCTTTAGATTTGGACTCAGCCAAATAGAATCAGGGATAGTGATCTGAATCAACAAATTGAATCACTGTCCCTGATTTGGGCCAAATCCGAATTGAATAGGGCCTGCTTTGCACACCCCTAATAGGTAGTTGTCTAGTAATGAGGTATGATAAGTTATGAAATATAGGGCACATCTACACAAGACACATTAATGTGCATTATCTTATTTTAATGTGCATTACGGGAACATGTCTACACATGTGCGTCCTTAATGCACACTAAAAATGGCAAAATCAGGGTAATCACACATAAATTTGATACCTGCAAATGCAGGTATCAAATTTAGGCACAATTTCCATATTTTCGTGCATATAGCCCACCCCCATGTATAACCTGCGGAAAATTGTATTTTTGTAAAATAGACCGTGTATTCTCCACACCCAGGTATTCCCCGCACCCCGAGACATGGCTGCAAGCACGGGCTCTGCTGAGCTTGAGGGCTCTGCAGGGGAGGGGAGGGATGAGGAGCTGCGAGCTGTGAGCCCTGCTCCCTGCCGCCGCTGCCAGCCACACTCTCACTGCCCACCTGCAGCCTCCCCCCAAGACATGGCCTCAAGTGTGGGCTCTGCTGGGCACGGCTGCTGGAGCCAGAGCCCGCAGCCAGGGATGGGTCTATGCTGTTCTAAAGACTCTGCATAGCCCGCACCCATCTGTCAAGTTTGTAAAAACGTGTATAGCCCGCGGACTATATGCGCGAAAATACAGTAGTTAAAGTGCATTAACACATGAGTAGACGCGACCTGGCAGTAACTTTAGTGCTGGGTCTGCACAGCCACTAGGGGCACATGGCAGAGCTGCAGGGACTTGGCACTAACTTTAAGTGCCAACTCTCTGGACAGGCACACACCTGACAAAAATTGCTTAATGCGCATTCAATTCAGTTGCACTTAAATGCATGCTTAAATCCACGTACCCATAGTGGAGTAAGCAATAGAATAAAACTTTACTACTATTCCACAAAAGCGCTTGATCCAATACCCAGATGTTCAGACTTCAACAGGCTTCAAATCAGAGCCATATATATACAATACTACAGAATTTCACTTCTTGTTAATGATTATTAGACTCTGTGTACTATATAGTTTTTTTTGGATTTGAGAGGTAGTCATATACATACATAAACACATACAGACGTATTACATATGTATACATAACAGATATATAAAGATGTATAAAACAGGATGTATTACAGCTCTGTGAGGTAAAACTGGGGGAGGACAGGAGTGGCACTCTCTGAGCAGGAGTCCTTGGGTATATTATGCAAGCACAGTGGTGCTTGGGATGAGCATGCTAAAGAATAGCAGTTTCTACACATATTCAACTGCTGCAGCATGCACCTCTTTCACTGCAGTCCACTATGCAATGTGAAAGAAAATGGAGCTATGCCCACAACTCAACTTCCCAGACTTGGAGCACAGTTGACAGTGTTGACTAAAATACTCATGATGTGCTTACAACCAAATTAAGTCTGTGTGCAGCAGTACCATCTTGGGATAGCTTCTAGCTAAGACAGCAGGAGTATGTGTATCTAGGAAGTTATGCACCCTGGGGAGTGGTGATGGTTGGAGTAGTGATGGTGGCTAGGCTGGTGATAGTGGCTGCCATTCCTGTGCTTACAGAGGCATCTATGGCTGGTGCCCCAGCTGCCCACCCCTAGTTATGCTTATGACGGATAGCTCTTCCCTCCTCTGGCCCACTCATGCAGGTTGTCCATAATTCACATGCATGCACATATGCACATAAACTCCATGCAATAATCAGAATGCAGCTCACATTTTATAAAGCACACAGTAGCGCATGGGAGCAGCATTAGTTAAAAAACATTGATGCAATATTTAAAATCAACAATGTCCAATTTTTTTCAAAATAAATGTTTTGAAAAGTTCCCTTTTTCCTCCTCTGTGGATTGTGCTTAACATTCTACAGGAAGAAATGGGATTCAGCAGGTGACAAATTCATTAATCCAGTCAGTGATGATTCCAAACAACAAATTCAGTTACACATTTGCCTTTAGATACTTAAAAAGACTTGGGGCAGCTGGTGTAATCTGTCAGATTTCCATGGAAGCCAATGTGCAATTGATTTGTATAATGGCATGGTAATATTCTGTGTATTATTTGCCATCCCATTTCTTCTTTGTTTTAACATTTTGAGCATTTTTTTCAATGACTGTTGCATATATTCTGCTTCACAATGATGCCCTGACCTGCAACTAGTGCATTTTTCCATGGTAAGCACAAAGATAAATATTCATTTCCTTCTTGCCTATTTCTCCCAAGTATAAACCAGCATCTACTGGAAAATCTGTTGATAGGTTTCTATTAAATATCAGCTTAGCCCAAACACTGGAAACATTAGATATATCTCCTACATAGAAAATATCAAATTGGAAAAGATTATGATTCAAGCATATTAAGGTTGAAAATTAGCCTGCTATGAATCCCATACTGAAGTTGTTACTAATTGTTGCTTCATCTGAAAATAGCAGATTCACCCTACCCAAGAAATGACCAGGTTACATATGCAACTGACTGTAAACAACACAGTGTGTGGCTGTATATGTAAACTTAAGCTAATATGTACATTAAGTTTAATGAACACTGGGTTACATCCAGTCATTATGGGGAGAATTCAAGTCAGAAGATGCCATGTGAAGGAGGCTTAGGGCACTTCCTTGGACAGCCCTGTTCCTGGCACTGCTATGCATGGGCTCCATTATCTTAAGCTAAAACGATGACTACAAAGGGCGAAATAAACAGCTCAGAAATGCACCATAATGTAGGGGTGCCATATTACTAACTGTGCCCCCTTTCCTTACTCCATTAGTAGCAGACAGGGTGTACAGATTACAAGCCTCTGCCAGGGCTCTACGCCACTGCAGAATCATCTTTGTACTGAGAAGTTTTTCAGTCCATGTCTGTGCATGGTGCAGGATTTCCAAATATTTCTAGACAGCTGGGGGTTATCCTCATAAGAAATCATTACTACTTGGCCAGCTTGTGGAGTTCTAGAATAATACAGATGAAAACTGGTATTAAAAATTGTTATGTGAACTATGTAAAGCACCTCGAGCTAAGACTATCCTGGTTTACACTTCATGCACTCACAAACAGAGGGAACTCAGTGGGAATAAGTACAGCAGAATTTGGTCTCTTGCTATATAGGATGAATGATACAGAGTTTTAAAAATATTATACACATAAAGGAACAGTGATCAATAGAACAAAAGAATAATAATCCCAGATCACTGAGCACCTGGGACCAGATTTCTCATGTAATCCTTTCACACTTTTTAACATACAAACTTGCCTAGTTTTGCTGATTGTGGAATCAATGCCAGGTCATTTCTCTGGGTTCTAGAGAAACAGAACCCTTTCTTAAGCTTTCCATCTCAGGCAAATGGGAACAGACACTGACATTTACCACTCTGCAATATTCCTTTTGTTGCTGATTTTAAAATTTGAACCAACAGTAAACAGCAGCCCAAATGATTCACAGAAGTGAAGCTGCTTAAGGGTTAAAAGGTCTGAAATTACAAAGTTTGGCTAACGTTACAAAAGAGAGAGATATATTGATACAGATGATGAAGAGTTAGTCATGCAAAATATACAAAACACGGTTATTTTAATTACCAGAAGAATCAAGGTCATTTTCTAGGTTAGTAAGTTCATCACCACCTTCTGTAACAGAGCATTCAGGAACTTCCTCATTAGTATCTATTTCAATATTATCATCCTCATCCTCATCTGTAGGAACATGTAGTATTAAAGTTAGTACCTGCTTTGTACACGTACCACACCAGTAAAACATTAGTGTTTTAGTGGCACTTAAGTGCAGCTTGAACACAAAATGCAGTCATGTCCTCAGCCCCAATGAAGTTTCAGTTTTTTCACAACATTTAGATTTTTAAACTGATGTAATTCAGAACACAGAGACAGTTGGCCAAAGCAGAGGTGATGGGTGCACAATCATGGCAGAATTTAGCCTCAGGGAAAATATTCAACTTCACAGATCTGACCAACGTTGAAAAACACATGAGGTTTTCCTTTCAAACCTCTGCATTTTAACAGGCTGTCTGTGAATCACCTCCCTCTTACAACAATTCTTGGATGATATAAAATACATTATTTGTCATAACCACGTACACATATAGAAAACTGTATTGCTGTGTCACAGCACCAGTTTGAATAGTGAGGATTGCTTGCAAGGTATGGAGACTTTTAATAAATAAAATAATCTTCACTGTACTTTGCACTTCTTTAGGACTTTCCACTGAGCATGTCAAAGCAGCTTACAACCATGACCTATGCATTAACCCTGTAACAACCCTTTGAAGTAGGTGAATATTATCATTCATGTTTTGCATGTTGGCTAAACCAAAGCATAGGAAGGCAGGGTAACTTGAGGAAGATCAAGTGAGAAGTGCTACTGTGGAGAATAGAATCCAGGAATTCTCACTTTCTTGATGCTACTAAGAGATAATATATAAGCATACTTTACAAAACAGTACGCTTGTTAAAGCTAGTTAACACCTTCAAAATGCTTAGTCACATTTTATTTAATTCTTTCTAGTTTCTATCATTTCAAGGAAAGACTTTTACTGATCATACACTGCTATGTGAGAAAATGATCAAGGACTGGTAAGAGAACAGGATGGGGAGAAATGGAGCAGTGGAATAAATATTATTTAAAATATGGGAATTTGGATTGGTACATTATCGGGACCTAACCCATAGCACCCAAAACCTTGCCTCTGAGTACCCAAAGATTGGCAAGTTTGGGTTTGGATCTGTGCCATAAGTCTGATCCAGCTCTGGAGGGGACTTTCTGAATTTTGGGGAAATTTGACCCTCAGTAGTGGTAGCAGTTTACTTACCGTTTTTTCTAATGTGATACAGTAAACTTAACAATAACATTATATGTAATATAATAATAAAAGTACATAATTTGTGGTTATTGTGGTTATCAGTGAAAGCATACAATACAATGACATAGTCTATCAATTTAAACAAGAGTACAATCAAACATAATACAGGATGATACATAAAAATAAATAAAATGAAGTAATATATCAGAATAAAAAAATTAAAAACAGAGACCTCTATTGGATTTGGCACATTCTTTGTGCAAGTAGCATAAACACACCTACACAATACAGGACAGGCTGTAAGTTCTTAGCAAGGAGCCAATTATTTTTTTCATCATTAGCTCATTACTTAACATTTTCCACTACTGGAGATACCCATTCCCCTCATTTTGTGACAAGACTACAAATAGTGATTTAGGCTGCCTATCTCATTCTTCCCACAGGAACATAACCTGTTCAAGTGTGGGGTCTGACAGCCCCTTCCCATGATGACTGCTGATCTCATTAGAATGAACCACAATCTCATAATAACCTCTTGTGTTTTGGTTTTGTACTTCACATAGATGGGTTTCTAGGCCAAAAGAGTTCTTTATTAATTTCAGAAAAGGGGAAGTCTGAGAACATCTCACTGCCTGCATATCTGTCTGTATGCTGGTGTCTTTAATTCTTAAATTGATAACTTGTTTTAAATATGGGTATAACTTGTTGGGTTGTATTGTTAGTGTTTTAACTATGGATATAACTTGTATGGGTATAACAAATAACTTGTTTTAAACTGTCACCACATTTCCCAGGCATTTGTCTGGTGGAGAGTATAAATGTTATTTAGCCATCAAGATAAGGGTTTATTTGGAAGAGAAGAGGCTTCTAATATGACTTCTTAAGGCACCTGACAAGATACAAACCCTAATTTTTATCCAATCATTTAGAGTTCTTAATTGAGCTACAGTGTAGCTCTCATGAGTCCCCGCTGTCATAGAGTTTGGTAGAGATAAAAGCTACCTTAAAAAGTAAATAGATTTTTTTTCTATTTTAGAATGAACTACAAAGTCAGCACTACACAGTTCCCCTCCATACAATAAAACAAACTCTACCTTAGCTCTACAGACCTTTAGTGCTACCAGTATCACCCTTCTACGATCTTACTGTAAAAGGCTCAAACTCCGCCCGAGGCTTGTTTTGCTTTAATGTTTACATTTTCTACATGTTTATTCCATCTTAGATTTTTATTAAAGGTATTTAAATGAGGCATTTTATTGAGGTATTTAAATAAGGACACCACCTCTAATTTATTTTTCTGTAGAAATCTTGTTTCTTTTGTTTCCAAAAACCAATACCTTGGATTTAGCGGTTTTGAGCGTCTATACATGTGCTCGGCAGGCTGAGGGGAACACGGACATGGGAAGGGGAGCTGCTTCAATTAGAACGACTCAGAGAGCCGTTCTAATTAAAGTGCCAAAAGCATCTCATGTATCAGCATCCCCACGCTTCAAAATGGCGGCAGAGGCACTTTATTTAAAGCTCATTGAACAAACTTTAAATAAAGCACCCCCACTGCCATTTTGAAGCATGGGGACACTGATACACAGGATGCAGAGGCTGGTTGGAGCATCGTAATTACCACACACCAGCAGAATTGATTAACTGAGTCTGCTCTGACATGCTGTAATAACAGTGTTGATTTTCAAGGTATGCAAGACGCAGCATATTATTGAAAAGCATCTAACAACCTCTGCAGGCCTATCTGGGATTCTGACACTAACAGTGCATCCTCTGCATAAAGCAAGAGAAGGACAGAATCCTTCTATATTGTGGGTGCGTGGCATTGATGCCCTGTTAGTATTTGTTAGATCATTTAGGAATAGGTTAAAAAGTAGCAGAGCAAGAAGACTTCCTTGCTATATACCTATCTTAGTTTAGAAACTACTGGAGAAGGCATCACCAATTCCATAACACACCCTAGATGCTGTATTTGAATAGTAAGCAATGATTAACTGTGGGAGAGCTTTATGACTGATGCTACTGCCAGTTTATTCCATAATTTAGTTGCCCTATGCAGTCAAAAGCTCCCTTTAGATCTATGAAGGGTATGTATAAATTATTTTGTTTTTTCATATATTTTGATGCCAGGTAATACAGCACTAAGCGTTGGCCCATACAAGAATAGCCTTCACTGAAACCAGACTGCTTTTCTCCCAGAACACTATTTTTAGAGATCCATGTTTATAGATAAGAGCGTAAGCGTCTCAAATATTTTGACTGGAATACGCATGAGACTAATGGGACAATATGCTGCAGGATAGGACCTCTTGTGACTTTTTTTTAAAGATTGGGGCTATTATATTTTCATTCCAATACTTAGGATAACTGCCTTGTTAAATTATTATGTTAAACATTTTGACAAAATTGTAGACCACGAATCAATACATTTCTTGAAAATTTGTGGGGGGAAGAAAATGAAGGCGGAGGGAGGGAGGCTTTCCACAACTCAAGAAGGATATATGTATGATCTGGCGTGAGTTTCAGAGGCAAGGTAATGACTGCTTGTGATTTAACGGATAACATTTCCTTCAGGAAACAGCCACCACTTCCCTCACAAGCTGAGAGTAAGTGACCCTCAATATGAATTTTGCAACTCAGGTCTGCTCTACCAGCAACAGAGCTAGTAAAGATTTCCATGACGGTACCCAGACTACAACTCCTTATTTCTCCTACCTGTGCATCTGCAAAATCACTACAATTTCTATTCTTTAGTTCACCCTGTTTATTTTTACCAGTCCTTTTCCTTCTAACCCACCTGGGCTCATATTTTCTTTTTAGATCGGTGATTTTCAACCTGTGGTCTGTGGAACCCTGGGGGGTCTGCAGACTATGTCTAATGGGTCTGTGAAAAATTACTATGATCAATCAAAAATATGTGATTACCCATGCTTACAATTTAAAGGGGTGTGCACCTCTGTTTGAAATTTCCAAAGTGGTCTGCACCTCCATTAAAAATTTTTTAGGAATCCGCAAATGAAAAAAGGTTGAAAACCACTGCTTTAGATAATCAATACATTCAATAATGATGCGCTTAGTGGAGGTTTTCTGATAAAAAGTGTGGTTCCTGCAGTGACGGAGTGGAGCAAAGCATTCTGGAATACATCAGCATGTCTACCTGAGGCACTAAGCTATTTCAGTATTTTATCCAATGACTGTTTAATGCAAAATGCATACATGGCCCTTGGAAAAGGACTCAGAACCTAAGTCTCTGCTCCCAGATGAATGCTCTAATTGGTAGGCTACACCCATGCTTCCCTTTCACTCCGTCTCTTCTGTTCCACTTTATGTGGATTTTTTTTTGCAGTGGCACAACTTCAACAGAAAGGTGCCCTCAACTCAGTGTAGTTTATAAAGCATATAGCCTGGCTCAGGAGTGAACAACATAGATCAGTAGGAGGCACACAACCTGCCTAATTCTTTATTAAACAACTTTATTAAATGAGAAAGGATTTGAAAAGAAAAGTGGCGAGTCCTCTGTCCTCTGTTCATGGCATTTGGTTAACCTGTACATGAGCCTCAGTGCACAATCTAGTCTGCTGCTTGCAAACATGCTTAGGACTTGTATCTCATTAGAGCAGATCCCACTAGTGGCAGCCCTCTTTTGGAGAGTGCCCCTTACAAGTGGCCCTCAACACAATTTCAGCTGTGTAGTTGTATAAGTGGTAGGGCACCTTCTTGCAAGGTGTATGACGTAGATTTTAACTCCCTCTGCTTGAAGAAGGTATTGAAGTTAGGTCTCCCACAACCTGGCTGAACAATTTAGCCACTGAGCTACTGTGTAAGGGGAAGCCCTCCCCTCACCTCACCCACAACTACACACTCTCACCCACCCAAAGT